TAACGTGAGTTTTATTTAAGGTTATGTAGACTATCGTAAAAAGGCGGATGCGCCTGTGCGGTGTTGAAACTGTGAATCATATTACAGTACGAAAAGTTCCAGATTTAAAAATTTAAAAGGTTTAAAAGATGTGAAAAGTAAATTTTGTTAAAAACTGTAGGCTAAGCGATAAAGTAGATCAGATTCAGGGAGCTACATGTATTTTGGGAAAAGTCGATGGTTATTAAATTCTGTAATATCATTAAGCAAAGAATTGTTGTTATTGTCAATTTCACATTATTAAAAGAGATGTGATTTTCGTTTTTTAAATGCTTAAAAACAGCGGAATTATCTTTAGTCATGAGCTTCCTGAATCTAATCGTCTAGAAACAAGGTGTATTGTTGCCGTATTAATTGTAAATTAAACAGTTTTTGTTATTAGAATAGCGAGCAACCATCAGATTCAGTTTATTACGAGAAATCGTAAACCAATGACTTTTGAATGTCTATAAAATATTATTCCACCCGTTATCGATATAATTTGATTAGAAACCGATCTGTTTTATTCGACTAACTGCTTTTATCGGTTGTAACACCAAAACCCAACATTCGTTTTACATTCAATTGTGACGCCTTACCGACAAAGAAAAATACAAAAAAACTAGTCACAACACAAAACTAACTACAAAATTCCACGGCGCAAGTACGGGTCCTCGCCTAGCTCAGTGAAGTTTCATTTCTAAGGCGCCACACAGTTAACAGTAAACGAACGCACAAATAACAGACAATGAAAGATGAAATTTGAGTGGCATACAGTGTAAACAGTGTAAAGCTATACGGGGCTTTAAAATATGCGAGGAGGTTCGTAAATCGGCAAATTTTCTTGGGGGATACGTTCGACGAGGAGGTCAGTTAACTTGATACTAGTAAGTGAGTCATGATCTACCTGCGAGATATATATTTTTTTTAATTTATTATGCAAAGGTATACGGAGTTTAAAAATATACATGTACACAAACGCACTCGATGCATCCTCCTCCTCCCAATAAGTTTCAGGAGCGGTGAGGGTTTATAAACGCCTGCGAAATGTGGTATTGACGTAGTTCTTTCATAACAAGTAGAAGTGTACAACATTAAATTGTAAAATGGTCGTGTGTGAGGATTGTGGAAAAAGTTTTACTCGAGTTGACAATTTAAAAAGACATCAACGATTATCTTGTATTGGCAAGAGAATCAAGCTTGACGCACCGCAAATTCCAAAAGCAGTAAAATGTGAGGCTTGCGATGATTATGTAAATAGACAATGTTACTCTGCACATTTACGAAGCAACGCACACAAGCGTAACGCTTTTGTTATAATCGATGACGGAGTGGAGAGAATAGCTGGAGCATTCGGTGACAAAATCGTCAGTTATCGAATAAGTGAAGAAGGTTTTTTTGTGGATTTGGATGAATTTTCACATAGAATTCGAGAAAAAATACTAAATCTGATACAAAGCGCAATCGATATTCACCGAAATGTAAAATTAAATATGGAATGTTTTGGTTTGTATTTTTTACAATCAAAGGAAGACTGTGAAATAAAATCATTCAATACGAAAAATAAGGTAGTATCATTAGCGTCGGATCTGTATAAAATATATAAGGAATTTATTGATGAAATTTCATCAAAAATGTCAGAATTCCAGGAACGAGATTCAGGTAAGCGTAATGAGACATAACATACCTATGCATTAAAAAATAAATGTTTCAATCTTTTATTTAGAATGGACTTTAATGAAAACCTCTATATGGAGTTAAATTTAAACAAATATAATCCTATAAGAGCATCTAATTACATCGATTTACCGTCGCAAATAGAAGCAAAGCATGCTGTGATAAATATACAAAACGCGGATGATGCATGTTTTGCATAGGCTGTAACATCCGCACTACATGAACTGAACGGTTTACCACAGAGGACATCTTCGTATCCGAATTACCTGGACTGCGGCTTAGGCTGTTCAAATATTGTTTTTCCAGTTAAATTACGTGATATACCTGTATTTGAAAAGCAGAACAAACTATCTATTAATGTATATGGAATAAATGAGTATTTTAAAGACGGTATTATGAATTATGACATAATTACAATGTATATATGTCGGCAAAAAGAAGAAAGACATATAAATTTATTATTGGTTACAAATGATTCCGGAAATAGTCACTATTGTTGGATAAAATATCTGTCTCGATTACTATCATCGCAAGCATCGCAGAATGGTCATGAAAAGTATATTTGCGATGGATGCTTGGTGTTCTTTACGTCAGAAAATAAACTTATCCGTCATCAAAGTGACGATTGCAGCAAGGTAAGGGCAATTTTACCAACAACAAATTTGAAAATAAATAAATATGGAAACGAAGAAAAATATATACAGTTCGAAAATTTTGAATGACAATTAAAAATATCGTTTGTGGTGTATGCAGATTTTGAAGCATTACAGAAACCGATCGCCGATGCGGAAGCAACTGAACTTAACGATGATAATTCATACTCCGTCAAATGTTTCAAACANAAATAAAAAAATGATTAACGAAAAATATAAATAATATGAAAAAGTCAATATAAGATTGTAATTAATAAAATTGTTAATAAACATTATCATATTGAAGAAGTCGTATAATTTTCTGATAATTAACATCGACGAGAAAAAGAGTCTTAATACTCCATATTTTAGATTAGATCAGAGTGAAGGAACACAAACATTAGTACGCCTAGAAAAAATTTACTTAAGTAGTCGCAAATATTGAAAAATTGTATTGTAATTTATTTAATATTATTTTATTGTAATTAACAGCTGTTACGGTTTCTATGAAACCTTCCTCAGGCATGACTGAAAAATCAATAATAAGAATATGACCATTTTGCAAATGACAAGGTTTAAACTAGTTACCGTCAATAACGAAGAATCAAGCAAGAAGGAGAATACATAATCAGAACACCAAGCGACTTCTGGAGTAAAAACGTAATGTTTTAATAAGTTACAAAAGATTAAAAGCCAGAAGGGCGAGTTGAAAAATTAAAGAGAACTGTAAAAGAAAGGAAAGTTTAAAATTATATTTAGAATTCAGTAAAGTGGCTTTCAATTACCTATTTTTCATTATAAACAGATTGTAAACAACAAAATGTAACAATAAAACTTAAAATATTACCATCAACAAAAAGAACGCAAATTAAAAAAATTCAAAAAGTAAAAACGCGTTATAACGTGAAGCGCAGTAAAACGACTAACGTGAGTTTTGTTTAAGGTTATGTAGGCTATCGTAAAAAGGCGGATGCGCCTGTGCGGTGTTGCAACTGTGAATCATATTACAATACGAAAAGTTCCAGATTTAAAAATTTAAAAGGTTTAAAAGATGTGAAAAGTAAATTTTGTTAAAAACTGTAAGCGATAAAGTAGATCAGATTCAGGGAGCTACACGTATTTTGGGAAAAGTCGATGGTTATTAAATTCTGTAATATCATTAAACAAAGAATTGTTGTTACTGTCAATTTCACATTATTAAAAGAGATGTGATTTTCGTTTTTTAAATGCGAAATATAATAATGGAATACAAATCTCATTACTATTTAAAAATTTTTTTAATAACAAGTTACAAAATATCAAAAATTTTCATCTCAAAACTCGAACAAGTTTTAAGATGAAAACAGTGATTTTTAGAACTTGATATTAAAAAAAAATTAATAACATGTTATTAAATAAAAATACAAACTTCAGAAGAACAAATCTATGTATATTTATAGACAAATATATACATTTAATCGTTTTCATGCTCATGGGGGCGTTTTTGTACAATGGTAAAGCATTTGCTTCAAGGCTAGAGGAAAACCCATGAAAAACTCTAGCATACCATAAGTCAAATAAATTTCTAGACAAATTTAGGAATACAAATTGCAATTGCAAACAACAGATTTAAGACAGCCAGAATAAAAAAATTCTACAAAGCGACTAAAATTAAAAGTATTACAGCAAAAACGAGCAGTAGACAGAATTAATGATAAAATGTTATTTATATAACTGTATGGAATATATAACTGTAATATTTCTTTTTATTTGTTTCTGTTCGTATCAATTAGAACAATATTTCAGCGAGCAGAATAAATTATAACATAGAATTGATATAAGCTGTAATATTTCTTTTTATTTGTTTCTGTTCGTAGCAATTATAACAACATTTCAGCGAACAGAATAAATTGTAACATAGCGACCAACACGAGAATTAAAACAAAGCGAAAAGGAACAATATTTTAGCGAGCATAACAAAGTAACAGAGCGACCAAGACGAGAATTAAAACAAAGCGAAAAGGAACAATATTTCAGCGAGCAGAATAAAGTAACAGAGCGACCCCGACGAGAATTAAAACAAAGCAAAAAGGAATAATGTTTCAGCGAGCAGAATCAAGTAACATAGCGACCACGACGAGAATTAAAACAAACCAAAAGGAACAATATTTTAGCGAGCAGAACAAAGTAACAGAGCGACCACGACGAGAATTAAAACAAAGCAAAAAGGAATAATGTTTCAGCGAGCAGAATAAAGTAACATAGCGACCACGATGAGAATTAAAACAAACCAAAAGGAACAATATTTTAGCAAGCAGAACAAAGTAACAGACCGACCAAGACGAGAATTAAAACAAAGCAAAAGGAACAATATTTTAGAGAGCAGAACAGAGTAACAGAGCGACCAAGACGAGAATTAAAACAAACCAAAAGGAACAATATTTTAGCGAGCAGAATAAAGTAACAGAGCGACCACGACGAGAATTAAAACAAAGCAAAAAGGAATAATGTTTCAGCGAGCAGAATAAAGTAACATAGCAACCAAGACGAGAATTAAAACAAAGCGAAAAGGAACAATATTTCAGCAAGCAAAATAAATTATAACAGAGCGAGCAAGACCATGATAATATGACGAATAAGACAAAGCGGAACTTAAAAATTATCTTAAAAATTAAACTTATACTAAAATTAAATTTATATATGTTGAAACGTCGACCTCTGTCGGTTTGTGCCCTGCCTCTTAGCACTTTTCATATCTCGTACTGCCCTCGTACAATACCAAGGTACACCTGTAAAAACAAAATAATGGTATTAACAAATTTTATTAACACTATTGGGTATTGTATTTTAGATATTTACGAACCTATTCTACACACGCTGGTTATAATTGCGGCTCTGATATATACTGCGTGTTCAAGACATTTATTTAAGAATGAGAAATCGACCTTTTCATTAATTATTCCTTTACCAATATTCGTTATGTTCTTGCATTTCCTGTATGTTGTTAATATACGTTCTACTTCTGTGATTGCAAGACCTACTGTAACTACTAAAGATTCGGATGGATAAAATAATCGTTTAGTATCGCCAGAGAGTTCCTTGGCCGAAATAAAAGCATTAAATGGTTCCAAGTCATCAGATGTTAAAATAGACATGCACACATCGCAATTGAAGGATTTGGAAATTCGCTTCACAATATATCCTGATACATATGCAACTGACAAGGAATGGACACTTCCAGATGAAATTAAGTCTTGAATGTCATTTGTAGTTAATACTTCTTGAGGCAGGGTTTGCATTGTTAATTCATTAACGGAAGTTGTTGTAGGTTCTTCTTCCTTAATTGGCTGTAGTGTTGGTATTTCTAAAAATTCTTTAAAATTGCTTAAAAGCTCAAGGCTGTCTTCCTCGCAATTAGTTCCTTTTAAATTTCCTTTTGCCAAACCATTCACCACTTGTGTTTTAAATGCGCCTATGAACTGAGTTACAGTAGGATTTTCATTACATCCACAACTGGATCTGATGGAACCAAAGAAATTTTCTAACGCATCTTGGTTTAGGTACCTTGGACGAAATGATTCAAGACCAGCAGATTGTAAATCTTTCCAAATGTTGCCAAATGCTTTTAAGGTGTGTAGCCATCCTAACTGAGTAGGTGGTTTCCATACACTTTGCATAGGATTCCTCAAAAATCGTTATTGCTCTATTCTGGTCCTTGTTAAATCCCAAAATTCATTGTGTCCTGTATTGCTCGTAACTTGACATTTATACGGCTTGCCGTCAGGGGCAGTTATTGCACTCCCATTACAACTATTAAATAATTCATCTATTAATGCAATAAAACATGCTGTTGCCATTGCTCGTGCTGGATGTATGTCTGAAACAAACAAACAAGTAATAAAATGTGTCACATTTTTTTATAATGTTACCTTTTTGAACTAACTGGTAAATATATACTGAACTGCTTCTGCTGAGTGTCTGTGCTGCAATTTTAACTTTCATAGCATTGTGCTGTAAAGGTGAAAAGTAATAATCCTTTAATTTGTAAAGACTTCGAAAAACTAGAGGTGTATGAGTGTCTACTTCATACGCTTTTTGGATATCAGACCATCTAGCTTGCAAACTTTCTGCATCTGATGACATTGAGGGCAGTACTTCTGATGATGGTAACTGTACGTTGTACTTTTTGAATAAATTTCGTGTGCTTTTTAATAAATGGGGTACATCAAAGATATTGTGAATAGTCTTCCCTTCATAAATAAAAAATGGAGTTGAAATTGTTGATCCTAGGTCTTTAAGAGCTCTTACATTTGCAGTTCCAAGATCGCATATTGTAGCCATAATGGGGATTTTATGTTTAAACATATTAAATATTACTTCTTTCAATCAAACTTTTAGTCTGCTCGAATCAACGGCCCCTTGACTGAAATAAAAGGTCAGTGGTTGTTTCCATGGTTTAATTATCCCCTGAGCCATAAATACAATAACATAATTGGCTACATTTTCACTTCTTTCGCTGCCATAATCTTCAACTCCTTCTAGAGAATCCGTTTTGCTATTGTATTGCAAATGTTCTTTAAGAGCCATTTCATCAAAAACCAATGAGCAAAGCCTTTCATTTTCTGGTAATTTTGCCAAGCAAGCACCCAAATGTCCAAAAATGTGGTCGTTAATTCCAACGTTGAATGGAATTTTATCTAACAATAACATAAGTGTACGTTGTGATGGGAGTGCAAACAAGCGTTGTAGAAATTTGTAACACTTAGGGCTCTTCTTATATATAGCCAAACACATAATCTTATCGTCAAGTGTCCATCTACGTCCATGACCAGAGCGTTTAACGCTTTTTATTTGCGAAATAAATAATTAGGCAGCAGTATTAGACATACCTGTATCAAAAATGTTAAGATTATTTAAACATAGTCTAATTGAAAGATGCAAAACATTTTGAGTGTATTTTGAACTAAAAATGTTCTCTAAATAAAAACCAAAGAGCGAGGTACTAAAGTTTGAGGATTACAGATAGATTAATTCACTTAATTCCGTTAAATAACAATGCAAATTAAAGATGAATTAAATTTAATTGTTTAATTTATTAGCAAAAATTGGATTTAATCAGGAATTTTATTAAATAAGTTATAAAAGACAACTGATAAAAAATAACAAACTATTTATTTAAATAAACAGCAATGTCTGAAAGCTGAAGCGTCCTGACCTGCATTCTGAAGGAAATTTTCTTATCTGTACAAACAATTACAGTGGAAAAGTTGCTTGCATTTTGTTTAAATATGTTGTGTTTAAAATTTGACAACACATTTACTTAATTCAGCTTGTATTATGTTAGATTCATGTAACATGTATTAGCCTTAGTCATAATTTTAAGTTCTTAGTTCGTCATTTATCATAATCACGATTACATTACTTTAACTATGATCACAACTAAGACTTAAACATGTTGCCTCAATTCGTGATTAAATAATTGGAAAGTAAATACTATTACCTTTAAAAACCTGAGTAAAAGATTCTGGTGTGCTTAACATATCTCTCAGTAATGTAGTTTTATTTTCATAATTCTTTTTAAGTCTCCGGATCTGTTTTTCTTTGTTCTTTAAAATTCGTCGCAGTGATTTTTCTTTGATCGTTGCACTAGACTGGCTCTTCTTAAATACTGACTCTGTTGTTGGATTTGTAGCGGAGGAAGGTATGGTAGCATCTTTTGTTATATTTAACTCCTATAAATATATAAAGTGTTATTTTAAACACAAATCCGGCGGTTTTGTTGATAATTTTACAGTGTTCATGATTTTATTTACTTAAATGTATATATATTTTTTTGGTTTGTTCCACTTTTGTTGCATCATCAATAAACATATATTATAATTATTATTAAATACATTACAAAGTAAAAAAACCTTCTAAATTTTCATATCGTAAACCTTTCATAAAGTAACTTGATCTGGTGACTTTTAAAAAAAAAGTAACGCGCCACCTAGTGGTTCGTAGTGGAACTAAACCATTACCGACAAGGTAGACTGCTACTTTTTTTTTTAAAGTCACCATATCTAGCTACCAACCTATTTTTTCCCCCAAGCCCATCGAGATACATATAATTTACTGGAGTACGTGCTCACGATATTCGCTTGGTCGAGAAAACGGTCCGATTCGCCAGCATGTTCCCCCACCCCATAACGGCAAGAAATACAAATAGTACTAACTAATGGATATAATTCAGCATGAATTTATTCAATATTTACTAAGTAATTCAAATAATGTTATTCAATAATGATGAAAAATACCAAATAATACATATTTAAGTTATTATAGTTAGGAAAAAAAATAAAATAAATTTTACGTATGTTACATTGAAGCTTTTTGCCGTTATGGGGTGGGGGAGGCCGGATCGTTTTCTAGCTCAAAGCACGCACTCCAGTAAACATAGTATATCTCGATGCTTTCAGCACAGTTTGGAGGTGAATGACGGTCAGCTTGAGCACACTTTGTAGGTGCAACATATTATGTTTCTGTTGTTTTGATTTATTAAAATGAAACAACAGAAACATTTTTAGTCCATGGCTACCTATGATAGAAGATATATCAGGATAACACTCGTCAATATTAATTTACATATCCCGCTATATNTAACCTTACCACAATATTTTAAACTATTTAAATTTTAAAGAATACACGGCTATATTCACAAGGTTGAACATAACCTAAAAATAAAGATAAAGCAACCATTACTAATAATAACATTCAACGTGAACTAAAAATAAGGAAAAACATAAAAATAGAGAAAATTTTAACAACATTTAAGAACGAATAATTCAAGAAAGTACTGATGAAAGAAGAGATGATTCCAGATTTCGAAAATTAAAAGTATAAAAGACGTAAGTTAATTTTTGAAGTAACCTAAAAACATGTGTTTTTTGAAGAACAAAATTTATTATATATTTTTAATTTAGTTTTTAATGTAATTTTTAAATTGTGTAACAGGTGGCTATTGCTCCTGAAGATGACTAAAAAGAATTAGTCGAAACCGGTAGAGCCGAAAATAAAAGATACCCTTCTGAAAAGCAAAGTTTTTTATTTACATAATCGAATAATTGACCTAAATGAAATGCTATTGTATAATTAATATTAAGGAAGTAAAAAAATAATACAAGTTATAAAATTGTTTTAATGCATTTTCATTAACAAATATGATGTACGTGAAAAAATACATTTAAATAAAAGAAGGAAAAGGTTTCGGCGGCTCAGTGGCGATGTGAATTAACGAACTATATAATACAGACTTATTTAATTGAATTTAGAAATAGATAAAACTTATTCATTTAATTGAATTTAAGCGGATTGAATTGATAGCTGTAAGGTGAAATAGAAACAACGAAATGATTTGTTTAAGAAATAAATTTATTACGCACTTAATTGGGTATGAAGTGTTATTTGCATTACGATACACATGCGTATTACATTGAAATTCAAGACGTTTAATTTAACCTCCTCCCTCACTCAATATCCCGGAGTTTCCATAGGCAACCCTAGCACCCATCTACAATACCTTGTTTGTACATCCTTAAGCACAAAAAAGAAAAAAAATAATAATAATATTGTAAAGCAAAAGAAAAAACAAGGACTTACAATCAACCTCCTCCATCGGATTAAATAACACCCTTCATCGTGGAGGTGGAGGTGGTGGCGGGGATCGGGGAGCTATCATAAACCCCCTCCAATACCTTGTTTGTACATCCTCAAGCACAAAAAAGAAAAAATTAATAATAATATTGTAAAGCAAAAGAAAAAACAAGGACTTACAATCAACCTCCTCCATCGAATTAAATAACACCCCTGGTGGAGACGGGGATCGGGGACTATGAAAAAATAGTGAGAAAATAAAATAATACTAGAAGGCAAAAGAAAAAATAACGACTACTTACAATCACGCATCTCCATCTCATCGATAATCGAGGATGAAGAGGAGGAGGAAGACGACTTCTCATTATCATCTTCCGCTAAGAAAAAAGAAAATAGTGAGAAAATAAATATATAGATGACATATTTTGCAAAACTTACCTACAACCACATCCACTTCGAATTTATATTTTCGGATGGTCATTGTACCATCCGAATTTTCTCTAACATGTAGTAAATACTCACGATCCATTATTTCTCTTTAATTCACTTTAACAATGATAAATGAAAATGATCACATCGTATTTATACTTAATTTTTACATAAAAGAGAGGAAAAATATTTCTCCTCTTTTTATATTAGACTAGCAACATAAAGATCGGATTCGGTTTATTACATGAAAAGGGATCCTAGAAACAATATGTATTGTTACCGTATAAATTGTAAATTAAACAGTTTTTGTTATTAGAATAGTGAGAAAGCATCAGGTTTAGTTTATTACGAGAAATTGTAAACCAATGACTTTTGAATTTCAATAAAATATTATTCCATCCGCTATCGATATAATTTGACCAGAAACCGATCTGTTTTATTCGACATATTCCTAAGCTCCCGCGCGTGCGTATTCAAGCATCACAACTTAAATTTCATGTGGTTATAATTTACCGTATTTTCTCGAATCTAATCCGCACCCTTTTTACAAATTTTGTATGCTCTAAAATCAAATGCGGATTACAACCGGATGTGGATTACATTGGAAAACCAACTTTTTTTACCATCATTACATTTTTAAAATCGAGGTGCGGATTAGATTCGAGTGCGGATAAGATTCGAGAAAATACGGTAAATCTATTTTTTTAATTTGTATTATTTGCATTGCAGCCAACTTAAATGTTAATACACCCAATTATTTTAAATTTAAACTTTTAATTGATTGCGTCCTAAAATTGTAACTTAACAATTCCACAGCCGACTAATTCCGAAACACACCGATCGGAGTAATCGGATCGTTAGCGGAAGTGTTAAATTGCACTAAACAATCGACGCAATTCCAATGAAAGAAACAACAAGTTTTGATAATCATTATAATTAGGAAATAACTCTTGATAATCATTAAATCGAATATAAATTACACAACATTATGTAATCATCAGCTTCAACACCATGTTCCAATTAACAAAATGAGGGAATATCTGTTAACCACCCACACCCTATTATATCTGCTTCAATATAGAATTTGTCACAAAGAATACTATATCAGATAAAGATGTTACGAAAGCAATGGGAAGTATTTTAAAGATGCAAAC